ACAAATATGAAACATGAGCAACATCTCAATACTTAGCACGGTAAGTAGCCAAAATTAGGATAAAATAACAGTGTAAAATGTGCCAAATAATTACTCTATCAATAACTATATTAGACAAATGGTAAAGGTATAACAAAAAAAAGTATCAGATTTATTGGCCAAACAATAGCCACTCCAATTGCATCTCTAATTTTTCGAAAATTATGGTATGGCCTCATCAACTCCTCATTACTCTCCACAGGCACATTCACATGAACTTCATACCAACGTGACTCCAAAGGTGTGTCACCAACTTTAGCCGTAGGATCCAAATTTCTAACCTCTCCAACAGCCAAAATTTTGTTTGGATCAATCATGCTCCTTATTGTAACTTCATCCCCAACCTTGAAAATATCAATTTTATAAAGTTTGTGAAAATCATATACAAGAGAGCAACTCCTAAACAGAAATTCATTACATAATACTACAAACCAACCCAAATTTCAGTGGTTTACACTCATCAATTAGGTACTCTTTTGCAATCGAACCATCAGTCCAACTTCTATTTTGAACATAATTCTTCAAGGTGCATAAGTACCTGAGATAATTACAAAATAATATGTTATAATAAGACTAATCACATTAAGAAAAAAAAGATGAAAATTTAAATTTATAATAATTACCTTTTAATTGGATACATCCAACGATAGTATGCTGGACCAATTATCCTTGCCTCAGTTGCTAAATGAATGGTCAAACGAACCATTACAACAAATAAAGATGGTAGAAACGCACGCCTCCAACTGGCATAGCACAATAGTAATTTTACTTTCCATTTGAACAAGTTCCCTAGGACAAAATGTTTTAGAACACAAATCTCTAAAGTAGTTGGACAACTTTATCAAGGGAGACCGCACCGATTTTGGAAGAAGTTTTCTGTAGCATTATGGTAACAGTTGTTGCATTAAAATGTGATTGTCATGGCTCTTAAGGCTGGATAGTTTAGGAGGTTTCAAGTGCACAGACTTTGAAATTGTGGTTGAATAACCATTAGGAACTTTAACTTTTTTCAGAATTTTGCAGAATAATTCTTTCTCTTTCTTAAGTATGTTACTGCACTTTATTAGTCTCTTGATGACTCTCTACCTTCCTAACCAAACCCCAAAATCCAATTACAAGGAAGAACGAATAAACTAAATTTCAAGAGCCATCAAATGAAGAATGAACAAAGTTGAAAATAAGATGTTTAAACTTGACTAATAAAGTTTCTTAAACTCTATTTGGTTTCTTATTACAATCCGAATCCGAATCCAAGAACTTGGTAATTACCAACCACTCAAGTATCGTCCAATGCTGCCTTGTTTAGGAGCACATAATTTAAGCATCTTCAAGTTCAACCAGCAACATTAAAACTAGTTAAACAACTATTCAAATAGGGCAGCTATATTTTGAAAGTTTCTTTCTAGCAAAACAGCAAATACATAGCAAATATTATTAGACTTCATGTTTTTTGCTGAAAAAGTATAACACTAAATGCTTGAAATCAGTCAAACTCATGAAAAATAGAATAACCCACTTAATATCAGGGTATTAGCCTTACAAACTTAAATTTCTAACCTAATTTTGAAAGGAAAACTCAACAGAAAATTGAATCAAGAAATGGAAAAATTAGGCACAAAAAGCAAATAAGTTTCAAAAAAAAATGCAGACTAACCATTTGTCTGCCACCACAATCTTACCTTCCTCTACCTTCAAATGTCTTAATTATCACTAGGTTCAAATGCCCTAATTCCTTTTCGCAATCAAACCACGGATCCAAGAGTTACTTAGAGAGATGAAAAACGGTGCGATAAGACAAGGTGCAAGAGCATGAGAATGGATGTTATGTATGATGATGCATGATTGGTTCTCTGGCTCAATTGGATGATTGATTCTTTCCGGAGAGGAAAAATTGGGGAGGAAAGAGTAGAGCTTGAGGTTGGGTAGGTTTTGGAGAGGGGCTTACAAATTTTCCTGAAAAGAAAGGCACCTTAGTGGAGCGCCATTTGTTTCAGCATTTTTGTTTTTTTTTTCAATCGTTTCTAATATTACAATGTCGTATATGGTGTCTTCTCTTCCTTTTTAATGACCATTCCTATTGCATGTCATATTAAGATTGTATTATGACATTTTGCTAAAAGTCTTCTAAAGGTTGTCCTGTCACTAAAGACTATTTTTGTATTGTGTCCCTCTTAATAGAGTGCCCAATCGACACTCATTAGCCAAACCATTCTTAAAATAACAAGAATGTAATTAGGCATAAATGTGCAAAAACAGCCACTTGTAAATGAGATATTTAAGAGACTAAGGCCCCATTTAGGGTTGTGGTACTTTTAGTAAAAAAAAACACTTTTAGGTGCTAAAAGTACTTTTAAGATATTTGCGTGAACATTATCCCATAAAATTAATAATAGAGTTTTTGGTGTTAAAAGCACATTTAGCAAAAACTCAAAATTGGTACTTTTAGAGTAGCTTTTGTGATTTAAAAAATAAAATATTATATTTAATCATTTTATGTTATATTTTGAACTAAATAAAGAGATAAATATATTTAAAATTTTCAAATTTATGCATTATCCAATACAATAAGTATTTATTAAACTAATTTCTCCAAGCAACATACTTAAAAGCACTTAAGCACCTAATAAGTACTTTTATTATAACATCTATTGGAAAAGTACTTTTCAATAAGTTACTGCAACCCTAAACGTGCCCTAAATGTCCCATATACAAGTTCCAAGGATTTTCAATTATATTAATAAGATTTTGTGCTACTCCACTCACTCAATTAATTTGAAATGGATGCCTAAATTCTTTATCATGATATCAAGAGTTGGGTCTTGGATTTTTTAGTTACCCATTTGTAAGCCCAATTTCTTTATTAGTAATTAACCTTTTTCCAAAAAAAAAAAAGTACTATATTGATTTTATCTTATATAAATAAAGGTACAAAATGGACTTCATCGGACAAAGATAAAATAAGGAGATGGAGAGCCTATAGGTTGAATAAAAGCAAATTATCCAAGTAACCACTAAACTTTTCGAATAATTAAGTTTTGGCCACTTAATTATTAATGGTATGTTTTTATCTATTGAACTATCAAAAGTGTAAATTTTGGTCCATTTCATCTGATTTCACTGTTAACTTTATCAAATTTAACTATTAATAGTATGTCGTGTGAATCGTATGGACCCTAAATTTAGTAGAGTTAACAGGTGGAATTAGACTGGATAATCCAAAATTTACACATTTGATAATTCAGTGGATAAAAACATACTATTAATAATTGAGTGGCCAAATATTGACTATTAAAAAAAATGCAATGACTACCACGTAATTTGCTCGTTGAACAAATAACTTTATCATGCCATGTTTAATTAGTTCAAGATCTCTTGATATTATCACAATTAGCTTTCAAATGACTATTAGACTTAGTTATAGTTTCATTTCATAATTTGAAATAGGAAATTATTAGAAGTACAATAATGAAATATACACCATCAAAAGCACAACCACCCACGTAAGAGTGGACAACTATCTCACAATTGGTAGTAACTATAGTAAAACATGGAGCACAATGAACCTTTTTCAGGACACATGAGGACATCAACCTTGGACCCTTTAGTTTATTACTAGAAGTACAGTAGTATTATAGCTTTTCTTGTTAAAAGAAAATGTGATATTTAAAAAGCATATCGTCCCAATTAGCCTTCAATATCACTTACTTGAAGTGATTGACTTTCCAAGCGAAATTTGTCCTATTAACTTCTATATTGTGACAGAGAAATAGATCCTACAGTTATTGTGTGTTTGTGTCCTTTTCTATGGATTCGCTTCTGTACAAATACTCGTCTTCAAATGCATCCAATCAAGTACGATTCGCTACTTATTGTACATGGTGATCAGTAATTCCTCAATAGTCAATTTTTGTTGCTACAAACGGAAAACTAGGCTTCTTGATCTTACGAATGAATCTTGGATAACCAAAGTTTTCCTTTCTTTTTTATTTTTAGGTTTGGATAATAGAAAGGAGATGGTACCAACAATTGAAAAATCTTGAAAACATGAAATTAATTGGAAAAGAAACATTTGGAAATAAAATCCCTTGAGCATAAATCTAGAAACTGACACCATAAGTCCTCAATAACCAATTTAATTATTAGGGATATTAGCCAGGTGGTAGGGAGCTCTATGATTCAATTATCAAACCTTACCCTTTCTCTGGTAAGATTTAAAGGCTTCCATTGAATAAAAACAAAATAATAATAATAATAATAATCATAACAATAAAAGAAAATCTGGAGAACTTTTCTATAATTTGCAACTAGGCCCTTAACATATCCAACAACTGCAATTTGACATCCATAAACTATCCATCAAAACCGATAAAAATGTAGAAAATCTATTGAATCACCTTTCAGCTTCATAGAAATGACTGTATCATAGCTTGAATAGATTTAAGAGATATATATTTATACCTCTAAGTTCATAACGTTCATAATTCAACCCCCAAACTCTTGGATAAAGTCAAGCAAGGGCCATAAAATCCAAAAATCTACTGAAAAGACACCCACAAGATTATGCATTTTTGAGCCTATTACTTCTCAAAGTTTGTGAGTGTGATTCCACACTAAAACTTGAAAAATTGATACAAAAGTGAGATTGCAAATTGTCTATCTAGACATGGACCATGATAAAAGTGTACAATTTTTTTTTTTTTTACATTAACAAGTGTGGATCATGCCACATCACATGAATTCAAATTTGAAATTCAAATAATACGCATGTGTCATGCATTCAAAGCTATTAGTATAAAAAAAATTCACTGTACTGTCAGTACATAAAAAATTAATCCCTTGTAATATACTTAGATTTATAAGAAATGAAAGGAGCGATTCCCATTCATCAAACATATAATCCATTAAAAATATCAAAATCACATGAAATGGAATACTAAAGAGGACAAACTCATGAAAATTCTTCAGATAGTAGTTTTAGTAACACCATCTCCAAGCTCATTCACGAATGTCCTAAGATTCATGTTAGATGGCCCTCCATCTTTGGCAGCTTCTCTAGCCATGCCCTGCCATTTTTTAGCATTGATTCTCATTTCTTCACCTATCTGTCCACCATCCATGACAAGCTCTATGCATCTCTTAATTTCATAAGCCTCAAAAACTCCTCCATCATTTGCGATAGCTCTTACACCAATCTTCCAAACATCTTGAATAAACTTTGCATTTGTAGCTTGATCATTCCAAAGTGGAACTGCCACAACGGGTACCCCAACAACCATACTCTCCAAAGATGAATTCCATCCACAATGAGTCACAAAACATCCCACACAAGGGTGTGATAGAACCCTCATTTGTGAACACCATGGAACTATCATTCCTTGCTTTTCCAATTCATCTTTACAACTTAACTTCTCCTCCAATCTCTCACCACTATATGATGTTCTAATCACCCACAAAAATGTCTTCTGGCTTTCCAACAAACCATGTGCAATCTCCTCCATCTATTTCATAGACAATTCTGAGTAGCTCCCAAATGCTACATAAACCAAAGATCCTTCATGCTTCGAATTCATCCACTTGACATAATCTTTCAATTTAGGCAGCATATCGCCTCCAAAAGAAACACCCAAAGGATATTTACCATCCAAAAATTCTGAAGGGACTAAAGGCCTATAGCCATCATTTTAAACTTCTTCATAGCCCTTAAAGCCTCGTACTCTAGACCATCAAAACTGTTAACAAGAATTGTAGCATTTTCTTCCTTTTCAAGCAGCTCTAGATGGCCCTTCAGCTCTCTTGCAACAATCCTATTTACTTCAAGGGAGGGATCCAGCAAGAAGGAGGGTAAATCACAATCACTGAGCAATGGCAGCCATGTTAATTCAATGATATCGCCTCTCATAAGGTTTTCAATTTTCTCCCTGTATCCATTGAAATAATAGAAGTATATATCCAAAATAGCAACAGGTTGAATCCAGAAAAATGTGGCTGAAATTCCATATTCATAACAAATTTTAAGTACCCAAGACATGAATGGAGTGTAGACCACATGAGTGATCGGATGACACTCATTGGCTTTGGCCATGATAAGTTCCTTAATGGCATGAGAACCATTAGAAATCAGAGAAGAGATAAAATCTCCAATATCATCATAACCCCAGGCAAAGCCACTGTCATAGCCATCAGAGAAAGGAACAATGCTTAAATCTTCTGGCAATGAACCGGTTAGTTTGACCATGCTTAGAGTTACTGAAATACTAGTTGAAAGGGTGACTTTCTTGACTCCCATTTGAGTAGGGATTTGGCTAATTGAAGGGCTAGATTGATTTGTCCTTGCCCTGCAAAGGTTACCAGGAGAGTATGGCAATAGGCCATGTTTTTGTTGGCCAGCTACAAGTTATTGTAATTGAAATTTTGGGGGATTCTTGTGAAAGGTTGATTGTTCTAGTAGTCAGCTATATAGAAGCTAGGATTTGTCTAAACTCGTCTAACAACTGCGGGCCCAATGGCGGATGGCCACTTGTTAAAAGGACTCTAGTGGCTATCCTTAGGTAAAAAAAAAATGAATTCAAATCAGAACAAGTGCTTGAAATGAGGTACAAAATGTGAGTATTTACATTTGAATGAAAATTTGTGTGTAAGTTATCTTTGACTACTAATTAGTGCCTAGTTAATAGTGGTTGGATCAAGTGGTAAGAAATTTGATACCTTTTAAATAAAGTAAAACTATCCCCGAAAAAAATCAAGTGGCAAGAAACTTGATACCCTTTAAATAAAATTATTCTGAAAAAAAATTTGACGGTATTCAACTCCAGATAATTAGATCACAAAACTGGACGACATAACTCATTTATGGTAGGGTATGATTAGTATTAGACCACAAATGGCAGTATCATGTAAAGCATTTGACTATTTAAGTTTGTGGTTGAATTGAATAGATCACTCTTTCATACATTGAATCCGAATTTTTCCTGTGAAGACAACTAGCAACTGAGTGCAGAAAGAAAAGTGAATCCGACGTAGGAAATATTACAGCCAAATTTTTCCACCGATGGGAGAAATTGATGGTTCGATGAATTGATCTCAATTTTAATTGTGTTGATAATCTCTGCATTTATTAGATGAATGACCCTTATTATGTCATGATCACTACTAAACTTGACTAACACTCAGAAGTGTCTAAATGATGGTGCATTAGTTATAAATGCATGTATTCATATAGTAAATTTAGTGTAATTTAGGTGCACTAACGATTAGTAAGTGTTCTAAGAAATCCTAATTCCTTTTACCTATACATGAACCATGAAAGTTAATTAATCACCTACGAAATTTTTGTTAGATTTTGAAAACTTAATTTTGTGTGTTTTGAATTAGTTAAACAATAAGAATGTTAGTAATCTAACTTTATTACAAATCTTCAAATGGATAATGATCTTTTACATTAATAAGATAGCCAAGGGAAAGGAATCAAAACTAAGCAGTTTTTAGTATTAAAATTGTCTAATAATTTCATGTTTAATTATGTCAGTAGATGCAGAGTCATCGACATTAGCTGGCATGCCAAGGATCACCTATAAAGTACGTAAATAGCGATGATGCTTCTCCAGAAGTGAGTGCTAGATCATGGTTTTGGTACACGGAAGAGGAACTATGCTAACGAAGTCACACATGTAGTTCGTTTTTTATGTTGCTTAGAATAAACGACTTTCAACGTCCTTTAAGGCTTTAACTTTCACTCAATATTCTATTCAGTCCCTGATTTCAAAAAGGGGCTAAGTTACTAATTAAACTTGACACTTTTTCTTTTGGTTAGATATGGTGTATATTAATCTAATAGTATATGATGAGAGAATATAAAAACTTACTTTATAATCTACATGAAACACACACAATGAAATGAAGAAAGCAAATGCGTTGCAAAATTGACTTGAAATTTTGTCATGTTCGCATCATTTATTAATATTTCAACACCTCTTTTCTCCTTTCAAACCTTTTTTTTAAGTAGTCTTCATCTTCATTGCTTGGCGAGAGGATTCGAGATGTCTTCTTTGCCTCAAACATGGATATTTTGTTTAAGTGGTCCTTCTCCAATTTCTAATCAAATTCCTATAAAAAAAACTATAATATTATAGATAAATATAGGAGATAAATAGACATCTTCTGTCTTTAAGGCTGAATCTTATACAAGTCCTAATGGAGGGGAAGCGAGGAGAAATCAATTACCATATGAGAGGTATATAACTAAATATAAATTAAAGATCTCGAACTCAAAAATTCAAAAACTCTCGCTTACACTAAAAAAAATAAAACAGAAAAAGTTCCAGTCCGCCAACACTATTATAATAGGCCAATGGAAAAGCGTGGCTAGGAAATTTCTGTTGCTTTTGTGACTCCATCCACTGTAAATGTACTTAGGTGCAGAACATGTTGGCTGCTAGGAAAGCTAAAGACACAAAAGTACTTGTGATGCATTTTGACAAGTCAACTACATATGATGCTGATGAAACTACTAGTTGACGGCTGTCGGGAACAAGATCATTATGGGCAGTATACGAATACTTCCAAGCAGTGTAGACTGAGAAGGGTTTAGGTAGTATATTGATTCCTATCAGGAGTCTTGCCTTAGCTACGAATCTTTGGTCCATTATTGCCTACGTCTGCAAACAAAAAAGATATAGATACACCAGTGGGTATTCTATAATGCATTCGTCTTAATTCAGATGAAACTTTGAGGAGCTTGAATGGGCATTTTTTATTTTTTAAGAGAATTTTCATAGTTGAATCTACAACTATCCATGACTGATAGTAAATTATGCATATGTGCGAGCAAAATTGATAGAGCCGAGCTATCTAAGCTAAATTCTTGCCTGCTGAACACAATGAGATAGAAAATATCCCTTGAAATAATTTTGATGCCTAAGTTGGTGATCAAAGTAATAATAGACTGGGGAGTTATGGAGTGAGAAGCAGTTAGTTAGTTACCTTCAAGTATGACTGTATGAGAACGGACTGCATTTATAGTCAAGGATTAGTTCGAATTATGGAAATCGAGGAGCATTTATTTTATAAGAGAAATCTTAAATCAGCCCCTAAGTAAGTCCCATTTGAATTGTTATATTTAGGAAATTTTGTAAAAATATATATATTATAACAATTTGATATATAGAAATAAAATATATTTAAAAAAAATTTTCTAAAAAATCATAATTCAAAATCACTGTCACATTAGGTAGCAGAGCATTACATATTTACATCAGCCAGCCATAGTCTGACAAGAGACACATCTCAGCTATGCCAAGTTACCATGGGCATCAATTTGTCACAATTTGTGACGGTTTTCACTGACCAATTTTGATGGAGTTTCTACTCACATCGAATCCCCTCTCCTATCTCCAAGAATAGACTAGCTTAGTTATAGGAAATTCTATCGTATCGACAAAAAAAAAAATTACCATGGCAACAGATGATAGCCTCGGAAAGTAATGGTAGGTGAGACTATGGTTTGGATCTACATTGCATGTTTACGAAAGTCGTAGAAGAGACATGCAAACGTTCATAGATACTATTCTAATGGCTTTTTTTCTCTTGCTCCATAAACAAAGACAAATATGTTAAACATGCTTTGGAGCAGTTTTGGACATGACGGAGGAAAATTAAAATTAAGCAAAGCAACATTATTATGCTCTTTGGAGCCACCTCTCATCGTTTGATGCACTTGTGAAAAGACGTAGTTAGACAACTATCTACTTGAAGAGAAAATAGTGCAACGAAAAGCTAAAAACACAAAAAGAAAATTAAATGTAGAAGCATTTCAATTTGGATAGCACTGTGCACAACTTGTTTTACAAGATTCATACCAATCATTTCGAGTCAAACGTACACCCAAAAGAGGGATTGAAAAGCTTTGTAATTTTGTTTTTACCACAAAGTAACTGAGATTTCATTATAGCAAACTTAAGAATCTTTATACAGTAATTTTTTTTTACGGCAACGATAATATTTCTATAATCTAATCTACTCCTGATTTAGAGGGAGGGGAGTCTAAAGAGACTATATATAAATGACTAGTATGTAGTAATGCTTGTACAAAATTTGGAAGCTCCAACTCCCACTCTATACTAGGGGTGAGCAACTATGGTAATTACCGAATTACCGACCGAAATCGATTTGAATTTGGTAATTTGCAGTCGGAAATTTAGGAATTTGATCCGTAAATCGATTATCCTGAATTAGTAAGAATCGAATTTGGGTCGAAAATGGTTGTGGGGTTTCTGAATTCGGATTTACCGAATTTGAATTTATTTTAATAAAACGGTAAATTATACCGTTTTCAAATTCAAAATTCTGAATAAAGTTTAATATGAAATAAATATGTTCCATACCTTAAATTGAAGCATTCGTTCTATTTCTGCTTTCTCGTTCCTTTGCACTGCCACTACTTAGTCTAAGCCTAAGCCTCCTCAACTGAAGACACTACTTTCTCATTCTATTTTTGCTTTTTGTTTCTGGTTCCTCAACTGAAGACAGAAACCCTAAACCTCCTCCAGCCGGCAGCCACCACTTAGTCCAACTTCCTCACAAGTCACACCTCACTTAGTCTGGCCTATCTATCTTTCTCTATTTCTGGTTCTCTTCATACTCACTAGCTCACTCACCACACCTGTCTCTCTCTACACCACTGATTACCATTGCTGACAGAGCCTCCACCATTACCAGGACCACGATTCACTAATGCTGAAGGTAAGTTTAGTGCTTTACTTTGTAGATTAATAAGTTGCCCTAATTTCGAAATTTAATCGATTTGAAGCATGTGTAATTTTGGGTGTAACTGAAAGAATTTTATTGCCATTGACTCACGTACAAACACAAAATTTTGTTGTCATTGATCCTACATTGCATGTTTATGAAAGTCGTGGAAGAGATATGAAAAACGTTCAAGATACCGTTCTAATGGACTTTTTTTCTCTTGCTCCATAAAGAAAGACAAATATGTTAAACATGCTTTGGAGCATGTTTGGACATGACGGAGGAGAATTAAAGTTAAGCAAAGCAACATTATTATGCTCTTTGGAGCCACCTCTCATCATTTGATGCACTTGTGAAAAGACATAGTTAGACAACTACCTACTTGAAAGAGAAAATAGTGCAACGAAAAGCTAAAAACACAAAAAGAAAATTAAATGTAGAGGCATTTCAATTTGGATAGCACTGTGCACAACTTGTTTTATATGGTTCATACCTATCATTTCCAGTCAAACGTACACCCAAAAGAGGGATTGAAAAACTTTG